GAAATTCCATTATTCCGAATAGGATTCCTCGCAAGAAAAGGGAAAAGTTGACAGCTATGCAGTGAAGGTGCCTGTTTGATATCAATAGGCAGGGAGTTCCAAAGGGCAGGTTCTGCTCCACCAAACAATTGAGTCCTTACAAATGTGGGGCGAGTGTTATGTGGCCTCTGCAGTATTGCCAGTTCTGCCGATCAAAGCGTTTGAGTGGGCACTTGTGGAGTCAGGTGATCATGAAGGTAAAATGGTCCCAAGTCATTAAGGCTTTGTATACTAATAGTAACACCTTGAACTTGGCTGGGTAGCAGGTTAGCAACCCGTGCAGATCTCTGAGCACAGGTGTCATATGCCAACAAGATCCCACTCCTGTCAGCAATTGTGCTGCAGCATTCTGCACTAGCTATGGCTTCCAGATTAAGCACGATGGAAGCGTGGCAGTAATCCAGTCTTGAAGTGCATGGCAGTAATCCAGTCTTGAAGTAACCAGTGAGTGAACTACTGTGGCAAGGCTTTCCTGGCCCAGGAGCAACCCTAGCTGTTTAACCAGCCGCAGTTGATAAAAGGCACTTCTTGCCACTGAGGCTACCTGAGCCTCCAGCGACAGAGCTGGATCGAGAAGCAACCCCCAAACTGTGAAACCTGCTCCTTCGGGGGGCTACAACTCCATCCAGAGTAGGCAACTGGCCAGACATGGGAACTACACACTAACAGTGCCTCCATCTTGTCAGGATTCAACTTGGGTTGTTGTTTTCTTATCCATGCCATCCATCAGGGTGACCAAGGGCGACTCTCTTCCATGGCCAGGCCTGAACCCAGATTGGAATGGATCTAGGATTCCTTCATTGCAGGGGGTTAGACTAGATAACTCTTGTGGTCCCTTCCAATTCCACCATTCTGATTCTATGATTCTGTTATTCCAGATCATCTATGTCCTCCAATAATGCTTGCAAGCTGCTCCACCTCTTTTCCCTTTGTCAGAGTCAATGATTCTTTCTTTTGGCTAAACAAGAGTTTGAGATAAAGTTGAACAAACTTTCTCTGTTCAAAAAAAGGAAACCAAGTACAAATGTTGACCCTGCAAGAGCAAAGAGCAAAATGCCTAGGGAAATTATGGACATTGGTCTCTAAGGAGCCTTTTAGATCAATATTTGTTTGTTTGTTTACCCAGCTCTTAAGCCAAAAAGGCTCCCAGAACCACTGACATTCATAAAGCAAGACAGTCCCTGCCTACAGACTTACCATCTAAGAGACATGACACAAAAGGAAAGGGGGGAGGGGAGAGGAGAGGAGAGGAGAGGAGAGGAGAGGAGAGGAGAGGAGAGGAGAGGAGAGGAGAGGAGAGGGGGGAAAGCAAATTCAGACCTATATTCTTAAGTTAAATAGTTGTTGTTGTTTAGTCGTGTCCGACTCTTCATGACCCCATGGACCAGAGCACGGCAGGCACTCCTGTCTTCCACTGCCTCCCGCAGTTTGGTCACACTCATGCTGGTAGCTTCAAGAACACTATCCAACCATCTCGTCCTCTGTCGTCCCCTTCTCCTTGTGCCCTCCATCTTTCCCAACATCAGGGTCTTTTCCAGGGAGTCTTCTCTTCTCATGAGGTGGCCAAAGTATTGGAGCCTCAGCTTCAGGATCTGTCCTTCCAGTGAACACTAAATAGTAGTTGTTATAATTAACAGCACAGGGGGAAAGTGTTGTTACACCCAAGCCTTGCTTGCAGGCTTTCCATAGCCACTGTGAGAACAAGATGCTGGGCTCAGTGGGCCATTGGCCTCATCCAGCGGGGCTCTACTTACATTCTTAATGATTAATCTGCTGCATGAATGCTGTTGCAATCATCCCAAGTGCTCCAAAAAGAACTTTGGTGTGTTTTTCTTCTTCAAAAAATTGTTGTGCTGTGCTATTCTATATACATTTACTTGGAAGTAAGCCCCCTCTGGTTTCAGGAGGTAGAGGATTGCAGCCTTATTTCAGAACAAGCAAAAGCAACATTTCCTTTGGAAAGCAGCTAATGAAATATTAAAGATGTGTCAGATATCCCAGCCTCGTTGCATATCCCCTTTCCCAAAGCCTTGCTTAAAACAACATTGGTGGGGGACTACTAGTACCGTACTGCTGTTGCTTGCGCCCCTTGCACATATTCATGCACAATTGTACACTTCCTTGCTCCCTGTGCCAAGCCTGCCTCACTGTACCTAAGACTGTGTATATACCATACATTTAAAGCACACACCCCCCAATAATTCTGTGGGGTTTTTTTTAACTCTTCGCAGAGCTACAATTCCCAGGGTCCTTAGCAAACTACAGTTCCTGGAATTATTTCAGAGGGGTGTGCTTTAAGTGCATGATGCATACACAGTCTATGAAAGTTTTCAGCCCAGGATAACTAGAAAGCTGGTGTATCTAGGAGAGATGAATAGCTTTGTCTTGTCTCACAGCTCAGATTTGATGTTTGATATTTTTTTTTAAGAACTACCTACTGGGAGCTGAGCCCACTGACACAGACCGTGTTGACATTGCATTGTGGGAGTGAAAAATGGAAAGCTAAAGCTATAAAGTCTGGCTCCGTGCTCTGTCTGGATTGCATATGCGTTGCTCAGATCTATTCAGATTGATCCGGGGGGCATGAATAATGCAGAAGGCATGAGAGGAGTGGGAAAGGTGAATTTGACATGCCCCATGGTATTCCAAGGCCAGTGCTGCTCTGCATATTGAAAACGGGGCTCAGTCCTCCTCGTCGCAGCCCAGTGCAATCGAACTGGCAGGCGGAAGAGTCTTTGCCAGAGAACAGCCTCTCGCAGCTACTCGAGCCAATCTTGCAAACGGCTCAGGAAGGAAGACCAAAGTGGTGTAAAGTGAAGCGTATTCAGGGTGTGCTGTTCATCGCCGTGGGAGGTGGTGGAAAGTCACACAGGCCTTGCCCCTTGGCCCACAGGATCAGGAAGGGCCCCCGGTGGAAATTGGTGGGGAGAGGAGTGTCGGAAGGCAGAGGGCTGTTCAATACCCTCTTCCTCACATCCCTGGGAGGCAACTTTCAGCAGAGAGCGTTACGATTCAAGGAGAAGAGACATTTGAGAGAAAGGGTTTTTTAAATTCTCTTTGAATACAGTTGACGTGTCCCAATCTCAGTCTTCCAAGGAGGGGCTCTCACAGCAGGGGAGGTGTCAGAGTGTAGTAAAAGCTTCTTAAATGTTTGTGTGTGAAGAAAGCATGAAGCAAGCCTCATAGTATAGCCCATTCTTTTGCTTATAACTGGGGTGGTTCAGATAAGATTTCAGAGATCCTTCTCTTTTTGTGATATGTTCCTGTTCAGTCTGGGCAGACACCCAAGAATATCCACCATCTTACCCAAACAGCTATCCCACTGTCTCTTTTCTGTCATAAGAGTATTATTATTTATTAGTAGCATTCCTTCTGAAGTAGTAATTCTATGTACATCCACCTAAGCAAGGAATTCCCACTAAGTCCTCATCTGTGGTTAACAGTCAGTTCCTTTTCCCAGGGAATTCTGGGAACAGTAGCTGCATGAGGTGAATAGGGGTCCCCTCTCAGCTGCCTTGAGAAACTACAGCTCCCAGGATTCTTTGAGGGAAGCCATGACTATTCAGGTAGTACAATGCTGCTTTAAATGTATAATACAGATGGCGTCTTAGAGACCCATTAGAAAGGGACAAGGCTGGTCATACCATGAGGCAGAGTGAGGCAACTGCCTCAGGAAGCAAATGCTGAGGAGTGGGAGGGGCCAGCAAAGTTAGGGATGACAGAACTGTGCTGTCACATAGTCCTATACCTGCCCTGAGGTACAGCGGAGGCAACCAGTGATGAAGTAAAAATTTAAGTGCCAGTCAGGTTGGATTCTGTACATGGAATTTATTATCTGAGTGGGGAAGGGATGAGCTGCCATCTTGTCTATCGCCCCGGGCAGTAAAACATATTGCGCCAGTGCTGATGGGAGGAGTGGATTGAGATTTGCTCTTTCGTTTGCCCATAGTGGGAAATATGAAGCACTGTGTAGCCTCACCTGTCATGAATTCCCTCAGATTCTTGTACTTACCCTCCTCTCTTGACTTCTTTTGCCCTGATAACTCCAAGGATGCTTTTCAGCAGGTGAGAAAGGAAAAAATGATAAAAGTGGGGGGAGTCAAATGAGAAGGAGAAACAATTACTGTTTTGTCTCCCATTTCATTGGTGGACCTGAAAACAAAAGAGAGGATCCCCAAGTTGTAATGTGGCAACACTAATCTGTAACTATGGTCGCATCCACACTGCGAGAGGGATTCAATGTTATGCTGTTCTGATTGTTCCACCAGCACAAGAATTTCTGCTTGCTTGATGGAATGACCCACCCCCTCCTCTCCTGTGCACTCTTCTCAGGGTTCTCCTGACAAGATCTGGGGGAGGCATATGACCACATGGGGTGAAGAGAGGGGGTAAACCCTCCTTGTACTAGCAAGAGCCCTTCAACTGGCTTCTGTTAGAGTGCCAGTTGAGTTGAATATATTTAAAGCATATGGCTGCTCCCAAAGAATCCTGGGACCTGTAGTTTACTCCCTCTCATGTCCCAGTACTCTTAACAAACTCCAGTTTCCAATAATCTTTGGGGAAAACAATGTGCTTTAAATGCATGGTGTGTATTTCTTGTTATTCTGTAGTAAAGACACCAAGAAAGGGAATAGTTCTCTCTACTGATTGGACCTCTTTCCTAAATAAGGAAAAACAACCTCCACAATTCAGAGCCTATACTATAAACCTAAAATTAGGCCTGATTGAGGTCTCAGGTGCCTCAAGACCACTGTTCCTCAGGCTTTGTGAGGATTTAGTTTCTGCATGAATAACACCTGACAAACGGGCTTTGGTTGTCACCAGTTCACTTTGTTCTCTGCATATTTTTGACGGATCATTTTGCTCTAATCCCATGTGACCACCGTTGCCTGGCGCCACCAGGCTCTTTTCCTTTAGGATGCCGGTGCCTTCCTGACCCTCCCTATATCTTGCCTACTCAGGTGTCAAGATGTCACTGAAAGTGCAGACGAGTAACATCACAAACAAGAATGACCCCAAGTCCATCAACTCCAGAGTCTTCATTGGGAACCTCAACACAGCAGTGGTCAAGAAGTCAGACGTAGAGACCATCTTCTCTAAGTACGGCAGGGTGGTGGGCTGCTCTGTTCACAAGGGCTATGCATTTGTACAGTACTCAAACGAGAGGCACGCACGGGCAGCTGTCCTGGGGGAGAATGGGAGAGTACTCGCCGGGCAGACATTAGGTAAGGACTCGTTGCCTCTTTCTCTAATATCCTTATTTGGAACTTGGTATGTGCAGACTAAGGTGGATGGGAACCCTCAGAAAACTGAAGGTCCCTGTGGAAATGGGGGAAGGCCTCTCCCATGTGAAGTTGAAATGAATATCACAGAGTTTTGACTTTTGCATGGAAAGTTGTACTCTTGACATAGAACCTTGAGTTGCAAGGCTAGGCAGCCTATGCAAAAATGCGTTCCTGAGGTTGTTTTAAGAGGACTTATGCCATAAGCTCCTTAGCCTTGGAGGAGGCATGAAAGAAAATAGCTTTGGTTTCAGAGGAGTATTAATTTCTGGAGCTGATCCCCTCTACTCCTGTTCAATAAGCAGCGTCAAGAACTAGCCTGCTATTTGTCAAGTTACTTCGCATATACTCCAAAGCAAATGTTGATTTGCGCCCATTTGCTTTCTGCATAAGTAAAACGTTCACACTTTACAACTTTATACTGCAAATACATGCCTCAAAGAGAGGATTACATTGAAGGGCAGTGCTTACATTATTACTGTTGCTATTATTTATTAAATTTGTATACCGCCCTTCATCCTTAGATTTCAGGGCAGTTCACAACATAAAAATACAAGATAAAAACACAAATACATGATAAAAACAAGAACAACCCTCCCAAACCAATAACCCTCCCCCCAAACATATTTAAAAGGGTTTAGGATATTCATCAGCCCAAGGCCTGATTGAGGAGGAATGTTTCTGTCTGGTGCTTAAAGGTGTATAATGAAAGGGCCAGCTATCAACCACTTAAATAACTGATCTGGTGCCTTTTAACTGATAAATGAATTAACCAATTAATTGATTTAGTTAAATCTGCATATTATAACTAACATTTCAAAAAAGAAGCACAATATTGCAGTAAACAAAAGTTACCGTTCAATGTTAATAAACTTTTATGCATTACCTGTATAGCAGTCACAGGAAATCTAGCCAAACAGCCTCAAAAATAGGTTAAGTCTCTGCTTCATTAGCAGCCTGACTTATTACAGGGGGCCCTTGCTGATTAATCAACTAACATTTTAGTTAATTAATTTGCCAATTAAGCTAACTGCAGCCCTAATTTAAAGGCAGCTAGGAAGCATTAGAGAAGTAGGCCAGCCCTGCTTGTAGGTCACCTGCCCACCTTCTTCTGCTGATTCTGAGTCTTTTGCAACTAACTTGGGCCTATTAGGGGCAATTTGTTGCAGATCCGTTTTGAGTCTTTGCTGCAAGACAAACAGATGTTCTAAAACCAGGTGTGTGGGTGTTCAGGATTTCATTTTCTGCAGTGAGGCTGCCAGCTGCTGAACACGAAGTGATGATGATGTTTGCTTGTAGTATGCACTACAGCAGCACCGAGAGGTCCCAAATCAAATTAGGCACCTAATGTGGCACACACTGTGAAAAATGCAAAAGGCTTACTCTCGGTGCTTTGGTGCCATGATATGTGACCGCAGCCCCCAATTGTTCACATATTACAAAAAGCAGCCCATCTACCACTAAGCAGCCATGAATGATCACGCAGCGCAGGAGAGGCTTTTAATCATGAACTACTAGAAATGAAAGGAGAGAACACTATAAGCTACCAAATTTCCTTGGGGATAATCCTGATTACCTGCACTGCAAACATAACATGTAAGCAAGCTTACTGTGGAAAATATGTCCTGATGGAAGTGGTTACTTCACTTAAACCTTGCTTTCATTGAAAAGTCTGAATGCTGCATCCAATATAGCTCATTATTGGTATATGCTCTGTGCTAATACAGTAGGTGTAATACTCTGCCCAAAGCTCTTGTTACTGTTGAAAAGTGATAGAATCTTCTCATTCAGATCACATCTGCTTCTCTTTAAACTCCCTAGCAGCTCAGTACTACAGGTTAATTTTTTGAGGTCTCTGGTTAAAGGATCTCAAGTACCACAGCTGGGAAAGCTTGGGAAATTTTGAAAGGGTCCATGGCTCATTGGTAGATCACATGGTTTGCATACCCCCATCGTTCTACCCGGACACTGAGGTCCAGCATCGAGGGCCTTCTGGGGGTTCCCTCGCTGCGAGAAGCCAAGTTACAGGGAACCAGGCAGAGGGCCTTCTCAGTAGTGGCACCCGCCCTGTGGAACTCCTTCCCACCAGATGTCAAAGAGAAAAACAACTGCCAGACTTTTAGAAGACATCTGAAGGCAGCCCTGTTTGGGAAGCTTTCAATGTTTAATAGACTATTGTATTTTAATATTTTGTTGGAAGCCGCCCAGAGTAGCTGGGGAAACCCAGCCAGATGGGTAGGGTATAAATAATTTATTATTGTTGTTGTAATAATAATAATAATACCAAAGATTCTAAGGTTCCATTCCTAGCATCTCTAGTTATAGCATATTGGGCCCCATCTGATAAGCTCAGCAGCCATTCTGAGTTAGATGATACAACTACTGTGCCAGAATTATACCTTTAATATGCCCAGCCAGATACTGCAAGAAAGTCCACAATCAGAACTTGATAACTGTTGTATATGCTCAGAATCTGACTATGTCATTTTCAGAGGTACTGAGTCAACCCTCCTCTGCACATTGGTGCATGAAACCACCCACATAGTTGCCTTTTCTGCTAGAAATGCACAGAGCTTGCTCTCACGCCCAATAGCAACTATAGAACTGGACCACTCACTTGCTATTGCCAATCAGTATGTACCTGTATAAACACCTGTACAGTTGAAAGAACAGCTCTTGAGTTCCCCAAAGTCAGAAAGGCAGGGAGCTTCCTCCCAATGCAAACAGTAACTTTAAATGGGGTTTTGTCATCAATAATAAAAGGAAATATGAGATAGAGTCACCCTCTTTAGGTTGATTCATTCTTAAAACAGTTAATCTCTATTTCATCCCATCCTTAGCTATTCTGTCATCTGAGTATTTCAAGCCAGTGGCAAGCAAGATTAGATTTTGCCCAGCTGCATCTAATATCCCTACCTCTTGGAAGGATTAATGATCCCTGTCTCCTAGAAGGGTCATTAAGAGCAGAGCTTTTTCTTTTTCAACCAGAACTCACTGGAACTTGGTTCTGGCACCTCTCAGGTGGGTGCCAGTGTCATTAGAGGAAAACAGGGGAGGCTTTCATGGTGAGTTCCAGCACTTCTTTTTCTAGAAAAATAGCACCGAAGAAGACACATTTCCCTAGGAGTGAGCCCCATGGAACTCATTTTTTAGTAGACATCTATGGGATTTCACAAGAAGATAAAGAACGATGGGTTGGAAAAGGAAGAGTTCAGCTAATTTGACAGAAATAATTTTAGGAAAAGAAGAAAGCTGTATTTCTCTGTTCAAATGAATTAATAAAGGTAAGGTAGAGACATAGAAGGCAAGAGCAGTAAATATTCTTAGGTCATGACCTGAAACTTAATCTATTCTTGGAAAATACTGTTCCAAGACTCTTTTAATGTTAGTGATTTCTTGCAAGTCAATGAGGAGAGATCATTTAATATAGTGAAGCTGAGAGCTGAGACATAAGTGACACCAGTTCAAACCTAAGCATGTCTACTCAGAAGTAAGACCTACTGAATTCAATGGTGCTTACTCCCAGGTCAGTGGAGTTAAAGATTGCAGCCTAAGGTTCTTTCACCAGCCCACCTTGGGTCTTCTGGCAAGCATAAAGTATGTTCCTTTAAGTGGTTTCTGAGCTTGTTAATTGTGTTCACTGTGAGTTTTGCTAGTGACTGTCTCTTGGGAAAACTGTTTTGAGAGTTGGATTTTGTTCATGTCTATGCTATGCTTTTCATGGAATGTATTTTTTTTTTTTTACTCACTTTCAGTGTCTCTTGAAATCTTTGATTTTTAAGCTCATGTCAGAGCAATCCAACCAGATTCAGGTGCTGGCAGCAGAACTTTCTGCTTGGGTGTTTTTCACATACTGTATCTTGTTTCCCATAGGGGTTTAGCATTAGTTTACCAACTGCAGGGGGACAGGGGTTTGAAAGTTTACCTGCTAGAGGCATCACAACGATTTGGGGAACAGGGGAAATTACACACACACACCCCGAGTACCCCACCTTCTTGGTTTTTAAAACAGTAACATTAAATACAAATGAATTAAACATAATATGTACCTATGGGTGGAGATAAATTTAATTCAGTTCATATTTGCAACTGAACTTACCTAATTTTCACTTTCTGAAACAATACACAAAACACAGCCATCCTTTGAAATTCATCCTTGGCTGAATTTTGCGATAAAGTTGTTCAGGCAAGTAACACGTGCAAAAATACATGCATTAAAGGAAAGTGTTAATAAAAATGCATATATTGGTGAAAATAACATACAAAAATGCATTGTATTAGGTAGAATATGTACAGTGAGCAAAATTGCATACAAATTTTTATATTTATGAGAAATTCCCACTGAAATGCTGATGGAACTTTTTTAAAAAATCAAGATTGCAAGATGTTGTGGGAATAGAGAGAACAGAACTTAAGACTGGAGAAATGAGAAGCTGAGAGAATCCAAAAAATTGATATGCTTGTCCACTCCTAAATGTAGCTTGGCCCAAGCAAACTATTACAACGTGGGCTGCACAATAAGGTGGTTGTGCCTTTCTGCATTTTGACTGGTATTAGGGAAACAAACTTTTCACATTTGTCTGAAACTTCCCCAGCCAATGAACTGGAGGGTCCACCTGCAATAGTGACAGCATCTAACTCGGTATCTGTTTGCTTGAAATGAATTGTTTCTTACAGTAACATTTTTATTTTTGTATGTGTGCAGTGCTTTGAAATGTCACCCGCTGAGCAGCTCTTGTCACCAGGCATAAACTGAGAATTGTTGCTGAAGATAGCATTCTCCATCAGAAATTGGCATTTTTGATCTCCCAGTAGGTGGTGGCGATATTGAAGGCGGCAGGAGTGCTAGACACGCCTGTGCAGAGGCCCAAAACCTATTCCCACCCTGTGCAAAGTCTGGCGTAACAACCTGAAATGAGAACTCAGAACATTTTGCTATCCTTTTAGAAAACAGATATTGCCATTGTATTATAAATCTTCCACAGACACACACACACACACACACCAGTGTGTGGCGTGTGGTGGGGGAAGCAGTTCTCCAAAGCAACACACAATGCTCTCTGGTTATCACCTTATTCTTATGAAAACCTCAAGCAGAACTGAAATGCAGCTTGCAATTTATTTTTATTTATATGCTGCTTGGGGGGGGGGATTTAAGCCTGTAAGACCTGACCCCACCCCACCCCCACCCCCCTTTTCTTAATAATAATAATAATAATAATAATAATAATAATAATAATAAATTTATTATTTATACTCTGCCCATTTGGCTTGGTTTCCCCAGCCACTCTGGGCGGCTTTCAACACAATATTAAAATTCAATAGTCTATTAAACATTAAATGCTTCCCTAAACAAAAGCTTCATAATGTAACACTAATTTCTCAACAAATGAAACTGATCTGTAGAAAATGTAACTTGAAAAAAAGAGACATTGCACATATTTTTGCAAACCAAGAAATCTTTAATAAAAAATACATTTTTAAAAAAGCCTGTAAGCAGTTTACATAAAATAATATGAAACCTTCACAAGAAATAGCAATGAAAATAACAAGACTTTGGAAACTGACATAATGAAATCGCCAAAATGTAGGTAAAATCAAGAGTTTCAAAAAATAAAATGGAATAAAATTACAAGTCTGGGTAGGCTCGTTTTAACAGGCAGTGAAAACAGCTCTATGACTGGGCCTCCCTAATATCAATAGGCAGGGAGTTCCAGAGAGTAGCTGCTGCCACACTTGCAATTCCTTGCAAGTGCAGAACAAACATTATATGGAATGTGTAAAAGTGCCAGTTCTGCATATAAAAGCAATTGAGTGGGCACATATGGGTAAGACGACCCTTCAAGTAAGCTGGTCCAAAGCTGTTGAGGGCTTTATATACTAATAGTCACACCTTGAATTGAGTGCTACTTTGCATGCATAACACCAGGGACAGGGCTGCAATGTATGGCCCCACTCATGTGCTCGTCTTGCCTGCGAGTATAGCACCTGACTAGGACATGCGCTTCTTCTGTAGAGCAGCAACTTTGCAGTGTTTCCCCCAAATCCCTCGTAAACTCTGTTGTGTCTCCCTGTCATGACACACGCAGGCACCCTTATCATGTTTTAAGTCTCCTTAGCTTTGGAAGGAAGAATGCCTGTGATCTGTGGTGCTGTACCATTGTGCCGGCAACTTCCCAGTGTGTCGGGGGTGAGGTGAAGCCGGAAGGGCCTTGTGGGGTATTTCATCAAGCATCCGAACATTTTTCAGAAAACAGGATGGCAGGGTACATCACCTTTCCTTATGCTTTGCTTCTAGAAAGTGGTCAGCATCTTTGTTCGCAGAGTTACTTTGTTTGGTTTCCATGCAGACGGCGAAAATTTGTCACACATTTCTATCCTCATGTATATCACACACCCCTTCAGTACAGAGGTTTAGGAATGACCATTTCCTTGGCAGATCAAAAAAGCATCGTTCTCCCCCATTGTGGGAGTTGAAGACTGTCCATGAAATCATGCTGGGTGACTTCAAACATGTGTCTGCACCCAGCACAGCCTTTAGCCTCACCTGAATGGAAGCAGGCTCAGAGGAACACAACTAACATCTCCTGTGTGCTCTATATTTGGCATTCATTTTACAGGAGGATGAAGGTAGACAATGATTATAAGCTGAGAGCCGTGTAATGTGTTGGCTTGGATCCAGAGATGTTTTGCACAAGCAGAAAGGCACTTCTGCATGAGCAAGACCGGCTGGCCAAATTCTCCCCATTCTCCTTCTGACTCCCTGTTCCCAATCTCATGCTATCCCAGAGGCAGGGCTGGCTTGCCCGTGAGGTGGGCTTAAGCCTTAGATGACAGAATCCTGCAGAGCAGTGCCCCCCAACCGTGCCCCACCCGCCACTGCCACTGCTGGAGAAGGGAGGAGGAATGGCAGCGGCTTCTGGCAAGATCTCACTAAACTCTCACTTGACCTCCAAGATCTCACCAGAAGCCACTGCCATTCAACCCCAAGAAGTGAGGCTTCAGTGGAGGGGTGGTGGAGGAGACAGCACCTTCCCATTTCACTGCAGGTGGCAGACTAGGATGGGCCACCTGTGCTTAGAGGGTCCCTCTGAGACACAGAGGCTGGGGGAGCTATAGTGCAGGAAGGAACAAGGAAACCCCCATTACATGAGTAGAGTTCTGCTTAGCAAGGTGGGGAGAATAGAGAGAGGGAGACCCATTTCAGTTATGAACAAGAAACCATGGTTTGCTGTTGTGTTACACGAGCTATAGCAAGCTACAGGCCCGTGTTGTCCATCCTTCACTTTCATTCCTCCTTTGCACATGAGAGGAGGAAATAGAAGTTTCATTCCCTATTTCCAACAAGCCACATTTTCAATTTCAGGTAAAGATGCACCTCTTTGTCCAGGCTTTTGAGGAGAAGCAAGGTGTATTGGGCGTCTGAATTTCTGTCGCTGCTAGTGGTTTTATTTTTAACTAATTTCATTTTTGTTTTGTGCTGTTTTGATCATATTGTTTAGATCTGATCTTCCGACCATGCATGCACTCCTAATCCTTTGAACTCTTTCCCCTTCTCTCCTCTCTTTTGTGAAAGCTAAAGTCAGGAGATAATCTTCACAAAAGAGTGGAGGGGAAAGAATTCACGAGCGCTAGGAGTGCAAGATTAGGAGATCAAATGGCCTTATATCTCTACCAGTGCTTAGATGTTTACTAAACTGTAATCATCTCAAACAGGTTTTGGCAATATGGAAATATATTTACTTTTATTTAATGAATTGATTAGTCACTTAAAAGGCAGGTCCTCTGACAGCTCTAGCTGACATATTTGCTGCGGAAAACACCCCAATATATACATATACATTTTATACCCTTCACAAAAGGAAAAAGGCTAGTACCTCTTTGTATATGTTTGTTTATTTGCAGGTATGGAAATAGCATAAAGGTATGCAAATAATAGTACAGATGAAGCTTTTTAAAATTAAAAAAAAGACTTTGATACAAAAAATTATGCATAAGGGATGGGAAGAGAGCAACACAACAGTAATTCCAAATTGTTATTTGCTGCAGATATAAACATGGCTGGAGAACCAAAGCCCAACAGACCCAAAGGCCTGAAGAGAACAGCATCCGCCTTATACAGGTAAGTTCTGTTGTTGTGATTCCCACCTAATGAAATGAATCTGACAAGTGTGAACAGGGATATTCCGGAAATACAGTCTATATATGTCGTGCTGTATGGGCCGAAATGGGGAACTTCAATTGCAGCCCTCCAGGCCTTTCTATCTGGCCCTAAGGAGTCTCTCCAGCCTGCATCTCCCCTCTGCCCCCAAACTGCACTCCTCATTAGTCCTACTTCATACCTTCTTTTAATCCATTTGCTTGGCTGAAACACAATCCAGAATGCCTCTTGCTTGCCAAGGATGGAGCAGAAGGGTGTGTAAATGGGTGCAGAAACTAGTTTACTGCACAAAGGTAAAATTCATGTTTGTTGCGCCATCTGCTTTCGCCTCTGGCCCCTCCCACCATTGGTATGTGGCCCCTGAAAGGTTTTCCAGACAGGAATGCAGTCCTCAGGTTGAAAAAGATTCCCCACTCCTGCCCAATAGAATATGGAGTCCGGTACAGAATAGGGGCTGACTCATTTTAAAGCCCAGGTTTTGTCAGGAGCTGGACTGAGGAGGAATGGTGAGAGCCGCCTCCCCACTTTTTTCCTGAACCTTCCCAAGGGCAGGAGGACAGTATTGATTTAGAACAGTGGTTTGCAGAGGGGCATAGTCCAGGGGGGGGGAGCTGGGAAATACTGGTTGAGGAACAGCTAGAAGAGGAAACGCCAGGAGAGAGTCAGCTGGTAGATTCAGTTTCCTTGGAAAGCGTTCCTGATCCCCCTTCGCCTAAGACTAGACGGGTTTTGAGAATGATGGAACAGAAAGCGCAGTGGCAACAAGATCAGATTACCCGACAGAGAAATGACATAGATTAATGGGGACGGAGGGTGAGCCTTTACTGGAAGCAACACCATTTCTAGAGAGTTATGCATTCCTTTGTCTCTTGCTGTGATTATTAAAGAAGCTAACTGGTAAGAATGCTCCTTTTGTTTGATCTGAATCCCCGAAGCCGGACAGGTTTAGAGTTTGCTCTCAAAACTGCTGTAAGAGTTTTGTTTCCCCATTAACCAGGGGGAGCCATTTTGGGTTTACAGCAGTGGATATCAAAGGGGGGATTACTTGGGGAAGGGGACTCAACTACAGAGGTCAATTTATAATGTTAAAAATGCATTATTAAAAAATCTGACATCAGATGGTGCTGTAGAGCAGAATCCAAAGTCAATGGCAGATTGCCTTGGGAGCGGGTTCCCCCCTCCCCCTGTAACTTTTTTTTATAGCGTTTTTTTATATCTGTGTAGAAACAGCCTAAGAGGCAAGGGGGTGGCAGCAGGGTGCTGGAGGTGTAAATAACAATCGGACATTGAAAAGCCGGTATCAGTGGATCAAGTTTGTCCATTTAATTGAAAAATATTAAACTACAGTGGTACCTCGGGTTAAGTACTTAATTTGTTCTGGAGGTCTGTTCTTAACCTGAAACTGTTCTTAACCTGAAGCACCACTTTAGCTAATGGGGCCTCCCGCTGCCGCCTCGCGATTTCTGTTCTCATCCTGAAGCAAAGTTCTTAACCCGAGGTACTATTTCTGGGATAGTGGAGTCTGTAATCTGAAGTGTATGTAACCCGAGGTACCACTGTAAATAGTTTTAAATGTGATCAAGTGAGCACATGGAGGAGCAGGGTAGTGGACGTCAGGTGAGAGAAAGTAAATGAAAATGGTAGAGAGAAGTGTAGGAGGAGGAATAACTGGTATATGGAAGGAGCAGGAGAAAGAAATAAGAGCAGGTAGGTTTTGGTTTCAGCATGGAAGAAGAGGGGAAATGTTGAGCAGAGTGTCAGGAGGTGGAGAGCCAGTAGCAAGGCCCTAACAGAGCATCAAGATTGGAGGAGGAGAATTTCTAGGGTTGGTATAGATGAGATGTGTGCAGCATTGCTGCTTAGACAAGAAAGGAGAGAGCATGAATTTATAGTGGCTGAGATCATCAGCCACACACTTTTTTTGTTCTCCACCAAAGGCTTTCAGCTGTACCTGAATCTGAGTGAAACTATCAAACAGAGGCACTGAGCCAGGGGTGTGGATGTGCAGGGAGGAGAAAAATATGTTAGAAGAGCGGGACAACAGGGACAAATTGAAGGTAACAACTGCAGCATCTATGGAGCAGGCAGAAGCAGAGGAGGAGAGGAGAGATAGTAGAGGGCAATGTTTCAGAGAAGGCCACTGGCTCAATGGAGAGGAGCTCAGGGAAGGAGTAGGGGGTGGGATATAGGGAGGGTGGACCGTGTGTAATGTTGAAAAGTCTAAGATGGTGATTGGGCAGAGAGAACCCCACAGCAGAAATGTCAGATACAAAGCAGTTCCAGGAGAAGGCAACATCAAGAGAGTGGCCAAAGCAAAAGCACATTCTGGAGGAGTTGTTTGGTTTTTTATTCCTGTTCAAAAGGTTGCTTCCTTATTGGCTAAGTGAATATGTGGAATTATTAGGAGGGGAAAGTCAGCATTTACTTTACAAAATGTTCTCTTTCAGCTGTCATATCTGTCAAATACCAACTGCTATTGTGCATGAGCTACCAGTGTCACTTAATGTCAATTATCAAATACTGTTCAATATCAAACACTTACATTAAGTACACTGTGTTTGATGCATAATATTAGAATATTCAGTCATCAGAATCCCCGGTGGAAAGTTCTGAGGAACACTTTTTTGCCAAATTAATTTCAGCTTGTTTCTCTACAAAATTACTCCTCCTCATCTCTGCAAATAAATTTATTTTTTGAATCAGCTAAAGGGTAACAGATGACTGCTTGCCGTTTTCCCTTTAAAAAAAGTGTATATTTAATTTATATGCCACTTTACAGCTCACATCAAATTATCAAAATAAAACAAACTAAAAACAATTCATTGTAAATGTAACGAATTTGAATACGGCACCCCTAGCAAACTGTGTACTAGTGATTGCATGGTAGTAGTATTTGCCAACATACATACATACTTTTATTTGTATGCCGCCTTTCCATAGTTCACACCATGCACAAAGCTGCTTACGACATGAATAGAAATTGCATAATTGCAAACATAACAAAAGTAGTCATATTCCTGTCTGTATGCTACAGATTACAGGCTCCAATGTGGTTTGCAGTCTCTCCATATTGGAATTGTAAGCAGCTACCAAGCGCCAAATGGACTTAGTCAGCAAACCCAGATTTCATTGCAGTTTGGAATGGAGGGCAAGGTACACAATTATTTGCTGGTATAATCATGGTGCTAGTCCTGCAAAGGTATCAAGGGTTCTTCAACCTTGGGCTCCCAGATGCTGTCAGACTGCAGCTTCCATGATCCCTGATCATTGGCTAAGCCAGCTGGGGATGATGGTGTTGTAGTCCATCAGCATATGGGAATCCAAGGTTGAAGCCGTGTGCTTTAAGGGAAGATGATGTGATCACTTTTATCCATTTGTTTTCTGGGTTCCCCAAATTGATAGTTCTGCATAATCACTGTGCCAATATGGGAGAGGTAGGGATTTTGTGGGTGGGGTGGGGAACAATCTTCCCATCTTCATACTGGTTCGAGTAAAAGAAACTCAGCAAGCAGATAAACTCTGCTTTCATCCTTTGCCAACCTCTGCTTCTTAATAATACTCTTGTCAATATAATCTCTTCCACTCTGCCTCTTTCATCGTATCATTAATTCAGGTAAAATCTTAGTAGCCCCTTTAGCACAGTTTATGCCACTTTGAAGAAGCCCATCTGAAGATTAAAGGGAAGTCCTGGCACTCTTGTTTTTATTACCCACCAAGCTTTCTTCTCTGCCCAGGCTGGTGTTTTGGCCTCATCTTCGTTATTATGTTACCTTCAAGCAATGGTACACACATCAAACACTGTGCTGTATCACTTGTGTTGTTAAGGGAAGTACGGGGGGGGGAGAGAGACCAGGGAAATCATCTCTAATAGTAAATAAGAAAGGGGGAAATGGTGTGCATTTAGAGAGAGAAGGTGAGAGGGTCTTTAGCTGCTTCCCATCAGAAGTCACGGAAAGATGAGCACAACACAACATCTTCTTCCCGGATAAAGAGGGGTTTAAGTTCTGGTGGAAAGGTATGATATTTGGCAAATATGTATGAGTTGCCTTATACTGAGTCAGACCATTGTTCCATCTAAATCATTACTGTCTACACAAACTGGCAGCAGCATTCCAGGGTTTAAGATGGGAACATTTCCAGCCCTACCTAGACATGTCAGATATGGAACCTGGGACCTTCTGCCCTCTGTCTCTGAAGTACAGGTCTTTTTCCAAGAGATCAAATGCCCAGATAGGGCTATAATAGGAATCGGTTCTCCATTAGACAGAGAGCCAAGCCACATGTGAACAAATGCCTGTGGTTTGTGAGATGAACCAGCCTCAGATTGGGTGGTAGGGAGAGGGGTAAATGTGCAGTGGCAGAGGGGAGCAGGCGTTTGAAACTAGGGAAAGCTGAATTGAAAGATGTGCTGTTTTGTCCCTAAGTTGCTCAGGATAGGAATGTCCACATTTCTTGGATGCAAGTGACATTTACTTATGTACATTTTCCTAAAAAATAATAATAACCAGGATCTTTCAAGTTTGTGGGCTACAAATAGAAAAGGGAGTAGTGCAAACACTGTTATTTATCTTTAGACTTCAGAGCTAATAGATCAGTTGACTGAAATTGCAAGCAGAAGCATGAGATAAATACCTCTTCGCTTCTTTCCTTCTCTAAATGGCATCTGAATGTGAAGCCTGTCAGGCTGTAGGTCACTTTGGTGGACACAACACTGACCCCTTTATTTTCTCTAGTTGACTTGCAGTGGATCAGTTGTGATCCACTGTTCTTTTTCTCTTGCTCATGTAGTGCCTCTTAATTATTTACTGGTAATTATCTACCAGGAGCAAACTAAATGCAAAAGAAGCAGATGAGTGCAAATTTGCTTAATTGCGTGATTTATTCACATGGCAGAATGGCTTTGCTTGACACAGATTTTGGGTTTCAGCAGCACACTCTTGCTAATAATCTGGAGTAATTTATAGGCCACCATAGGAAGGTTAGAACATAAAAAAGCATAAGAAGAGCTCTGCTGGATCAGGCCATTGGTCCATCTAGTGCAGCATCTGATTCTGATTGTGATCTTCCAGATCCTATGGGAAGGACACAAGCAAGAAGGACTTAAGCACAACTGCACTCACCCCTCCTACAGATGCATCCTGTCTCCCATCGTGGAGGAAGAGCATAGCCATTGTGGCCATTAGCTGTTGATCACCTTGTCCTTCATGAATTTGCCTAATTCTCTTTCGGGGAGGTCCAAAAAATATCTACATGGTGCCTAGGGAACAACTTGCACCTTAATATCAGCAAGACAAAGGTGATGGTGTTGGACTTTCAGAGGCAGAGAGGAGAACTATCACCACTGTACATCGGGGAGGGCTGTGTGGAGAGAGTCTCTTCCTTTAAATTCCTAGGAGTTTATCTCAGTGAAGACCTTACTTGGAAAATCAATACAACCCAGGTGGTTAAGAAAGCCCAACAGAGACTCCATCTCCTCAGAGTATTGCGAAAGAATGATATTAATCAAAGTTTGATTATCTCCTCTACCGGTCCACAATAGAAAGTGTCCTTTCATAACTGCATCACGGTGTGGTACGCTGGTTTGACATCAACTGATAGGAAGTGCCTACAGAGGGTGATGAATACAGCACAAGATAGTATGGGCTGTCCCATGAATCCGTTGGATGACATCGCGGAAGAACGTTGCCTCAGGAGAGTGAGGAAAATTCTCAGGGATGATTCACACCCTGGCTGGCACTTTCTTGATCTTCTGCCCTCGGGCAGAAGATATAGAAGCATGATTAGTCACACCAACAGGGTAAAGAACAGCTTCTATCCATGGGCTGTTAGGCTGCTGAATGAAAATATAACAATAGGCCAACTGACTTTCGGGTTTGCGTCAGTAAACGAGGGGAATTAAGACTAAGAGAGCTGAGTGGGGGGTGCTCGTGTAATCTGTGGGAGTGTATGCCATAGTTTAACTATGAGCTGCATGAAGAAACACTTTCTTTAGTCTGTCCGAAATCTTCCAGGTTTTTTCCAGATGATCCCACCCATCCATTGGGGCGGACGGATGAGTCTATTTCTGGATCGCATCAATTCCATGCGTATTCATTCATAAGTCTGTTCCATCCTACCTAAAGATTAATCGGTGAATTTTTGAAAAGTAATATTTAAATACATTTCTCGCAATCAAATACGTGTTTTAACTCAACATATGCATTTCTTTATGTATTTTGCCACCAAATACACCTTATTTGCATTTTGATGCATTCTTTTTAGTTGAGAAATGAACCACAACATTCAAAGTGGTGTAAAATGCAAAGGATGATCCATGTATTAGTCTGTGCACCTAAGTGCACATTAGGATGGTTCACTTAAAATGTGAATGATTTTTTCCTCCTGCCCTCTGAATGCATCCGACAACTTCGTACGCAAGGTCATATGTTGAGACAAAATATATGTATAACAGTGGTACCTCGGGTGAAGTACTTAATTCGTTCCGGAGGTCCGTTCTTAATGTAAAATTTCACATGGATTAGAAATAGACTGACTTGTCCACCTCTAACTGGAGTCTAGCATCCCAATTCTAACCCTCTGTAAACTGAAATCATATGCACATTTACATTGGAGTAAAAGGTAAAGGTACCCCTGCCCGTACGGGCCAGTCTTGACAGACTCTAGGGTTGTGCGCCCATCTCACTTAAGAGGCCGGGGGCCAGCGCTGT